TGTGTTTTGAGATTAAAGTGGAGACAATTTAGAAAAACCACTCAGTTTTTCCCAAAATCCCCATTGTTTTGGCCAGAGGAGGTTTTGCCATGTGCCTGGTTGGGTTGGGCTWGGAYTGGATTGRTCCAAAAAGGCCTAAAAATGGCCCCAAATTTCATTTTTGGAGATAAAAATGGAGAAGATAGAGAAGAATCTCAGTTTTTTCTGAAATTCTGGGTTTCGGTGGCTGGAGGACAATGCTAGAGGTGGCAGCAAGCTGGGGGTTCCACCATGGTTGGCTTGGGCTTGGATTGGGTCAAAAAAGTGGTTTGTTGGGGTCTTCACAGGAGTTTTGGGGTCTCCTCATGGTTTTGGGGGGTTTTCTGGTGGGATTGCAGCATGTTCTTGTGACTTTATTGGGTCTCCATGTGGTTTTTTGGGGGGTTTTCTCAAGTTTTTGGGGTCTGGAGGTTTAAATGGGGTTTTCTCTGTGTTTGATGGAGTTTTGGGGTCTCTATGTGGTTTTTTTTTTCAGGTCTCTTTGTGGTTTGGGGGGTTTCGTGTGGTTTGATGGCATCTCCATGTGGTTTTCTTGTGGGTTTCTCAGTTTTTTGGGGGTTTCTTCAAAGTCTTTCGCGGTCTCTTTGAGATTTTTGGAGATTTCCTGTTACATTATGGGGTCCCCTCATAGGTTATGGGATTAGAATTAGGGTCAAGGTTAGGGTTAGGGTTAGGGGTAAGGTTAGGGTTAGGTCAGGGTCAGGCTTAGGCTTAGGCTTAGGCTTAGGCTTAGGGTCAGGGTCAGGGTCAGGGTTACAGTTTTTGGGATAGTTTTTATGGGTTAGTGTGTGATAAAAGTTGGTGATTGAAGAGATGGGGCAAACTGCGTGCATGCAATAGGTCAATTTTATTGATACAAAGCAGAGTATATATACCTTTTCAGCAATAACTAAAAATAGATCCTTGTATAAACASCAATCACTGTATCAACTATATCTRTGTTTCTTATCAACACTGCACATCTTAGGGCTAGCACTGACTAGTACAAGGCC